TTTAAGAACTCGCATATCTGTGGAAATCTTGAAAATTGTTATAAATATCTCTGGCAGAAGTTGAGTGATGCAGTTTCCTGATCAAAACAGTCACAAGTAGCCTCTTTGGCAGAGGGTCAAGAACACAAAGAAATGAACCAAGTTGGCCTTTTGATATGGACTTCAGCCATAATCAGGATTTTCTGTGTAGTAAAATATGTTTATATTTAGGAACTTAAGCATAATGAGGCTTCCTGTTACTGCATATATTTACTATTTCTCATTGACACTATCTGTTTCACAGTGATTTTGTTTTTGTCTAATTTTCAGTGTTACAGAACCAATATAACACTGGAAGAAAAAGTTATATTCTATTTACTAACAAACTTGGAAGCTAAATTTATAGTTTGGATTTTTTTTAAGTGGTAGGTTCCAGTCTACAGCTATGAACGTTAACCCTCTCTTTTTACATGGGGCATGCACTGTAAATAGAGCTGTAGTGGCAATATATACCACATTGCTCTGCTAATGGGTTTTAATCCTGACATGGATAGATTCTCTCTCTAACAGTCACTTGATAGTTTACTGCCTGTTTAACCTGCTGTTGCAGTTCAGTGATAGAATCTTTGTCTGTTACATGGGAAACTTGGGTTCGATTCCTCGATGTGGGCATAAAACTATAGCCATCAGGGCACTGAATGTCTAGACTCAGTCTGGCCTTTGGATGCTGTCTCAGTGGTCTAAAGGGGGATAGAAAGTCTGGGCAGCCTCCACTCCTTCCTACCCCTGCCTGGGTGTATGTGTGTGGGGTTACCTCATGAATATCCCATGATCTGTAAGGATTGATGGTTACCTACTACTTGCTTGTCTGTCAGTTATTGGCCTCTGCTGAGACTGCTGGAAGGATGTCAGTTGATGTAATTTGTCATAGCATGTTTTCACAGACAGTTATACGTTGAGGTGTACCAATATATTGGTCCATATTACATCAGCACTGATAAAAGGAAATTTTTTAAATCATTTTGGCAATCGGCTTTTTTTGACTGGTAATGTTACTGATAAATGACGTGTACATGCACAGCTGCAGCATACACGTGGCCAGGAATGCAGCCCGGCAGCTTGGAGAGCAATGTCTGGCCAGTAAGTCTATGGGGGGAAAGGGGTGTGGGGGGGGGCAGATTGAGGCCCCCAACGGTAAGGGAGTGAGTGGGGCCAGGCAGGCACTGGCACTGCCCAGCTGGGGCAGTGAATGTGACCCCACCGGGAGCAGGGGGTGCCACGAGAAGCTTGTCCAGGAGGCGTGGGGGGTGGGGAGGGTATGCGGCTCCCTGCCACTATGCGCACCCCCAGGTGAGGCATGGGGGGCATGTGCCCCGCTGGGTTTGTGTACGGGGCAAAGGTGGGCTACCTGCTGTGGGCTGAGGGCTAGGGCTGTGCCAGCCTCTTCCCAGCAGTGGGGGCTGGGCCAGGGTGCATTTGGGGCAGGCGGGGCCAGGGCGGGTGGCAGCAGCAGTGCTGGGAGGGGTGGGCACCCCAAAATTCCCCGTAGCTCCCTGTAGCTACCCCTCCCAGTGCCACCACCACCCACCCCAAGGGCAGCCCTGGCCCAGCCCCTTGCCAGGAAGAGGCCAGTGCAGCTCCTGGCCCTGAGCTTGCCCTTGTTGTGTGCGCAGATTTGGGAGGGGCACATGCCCCCCACACCTCCCCTGGGGGCTGCCCTGCCTGGGCAGCGCCTGCTCTCTCCCTCACTGTGGGGGCCTCAATTTGCATCCCCCATGCCCCTT